GGGGGAGAGGGGGTCATTGGGTTTCTACGCGTTTGGTAAACATACAAAGTGCTTATAAGCCAAGTGTTTATAAGTTAAAATCGGCCATAAGCTATAAGTTGGTCACCCCCAACTTATGATTTTTCAGCTTATAAGCACTTTTAGTTTGACCAAGACTTTTACTAATTTATCCTTAATAATATTTTTTAATTTACAAAATATTTTTTTCAAAATAAATTTTTAAATTTTCTCTTCATTCCATATTCGTTGTTTATCATTTTCTCTACAAAGAAACTTTTTAATTCATAATCTTTTATAAAAAATTTAAGGGTATTTTTATCTTTTTAACAAGAGAACAGTTTATCAGCACTTTTCTACCAAACATATCAGGTGCTTATTATCAGTTTCAGCACGTCTATCCAAACACATAAATAGATATTTAAAAAATTAATTCCAGCACTTCAAGATTATCAGTTATTTACAATAAGCTAATCCAAACGGGTTAAGTTTAATTAAGGTTGCTCCTTAATTAAATTATTTTGTAAGGGAAGGAGTACTCACTGCAATTACAACGTTATTACATGGTTGCGGCGAATACGTGCCAGCATCGATGTGGGCAAGATATATAAGACTTAATCATTGAGCTATTTTATTGGAAAATTTGAGAATAAAAAAGAAAATATACAAAACAACTTATACTATTAAGAATCATAATTTGAGTTATACTACAAGTTAGAGTCTCTCACTTAATCACTATTATTCTACTCGATTAAAACCAGTGAGGTGTTTTTTTGAAAATAGTGTTAGATAATTTGATAACAAAGTATGAAATTGAGAAAACAGCCCTTCTGGAGGAAACTAATCATCAATAAGATAGAGGTAAAAATTTATAAAATCTTCTTTATAATCAATGCCATGTCCCATGTTTCTATCTCAAGTGGAATTGAAAAACATAGGTAATATACATAATAAACCAACATATATATGTGCATGTATAATAAGCCCTCCGTCCCATTTTAAGTATCGGATATAGTTTTTCAATTGTATTTATGTTCTTATTGATTAAATTTTTTATCTACCGTTGATTTCTTAGGGCCTCATTTTAGTTGGAAATAATTTTTTATACATTAATATGTTCAGCTAATGAGATTTCAGAAGTTCACTACAGCTCAAAAATCTATAATATATATGCTAATTAAAAGCTCGAAAAAGTGCAAAAACATAGATAAACCAAAAAAGAAAAATGAAAAATAAAAAAATAGCAACTTTAGTTGAAAGAATAATAGTATGACAAAATATTTTACATGTGAAGTAGAACATCGTACTTACAGTGAGGACTACAAACATTAAATGTTAATTGTAACCATTTTCATAGTTGTTTGAATGATTAGCTTATCAAAATAATGAGAAAAAGAAAACTTTATCTCTATGAGTTGCAAGATTTTATTGTGCGGAAAATACCTTGATTTTCGGGTATCGCTCGATCATTTTCATTTTCTGGTACGGAATTGAGAATAACTAATTGAGTAGCATACGATGCGGTTTCACTTTAATACGAGACTTCATAAAATTAGTTGGATAAATAAATCTAACATAATAATAATAATTTATAAGTTTGCACAAAGTGACTCTAGGATTCAAATTTCACACAACGTTAGTATACAACAATTAGCTTTTAGGTAATGGTTGTGAGTTGTGACTAACAAATTGTTATACGTTTTCTCATTTACTGATCTTAAGTGGCTTCGTAATATCTTTTATACCATTTGGAGATAGACTAACATAAGAGTTATTTAGAGGCATTTTCAAAGAGACAAATTTAGACCATTTGGATTGATAGGATCAGAACTTAAATAATGGCTAAAAGAATATACAGTGCAAATAATCTAATTTTTTTATAACTAAAAAAAACTACACTCAAACTTTTAGAACGGTATTATTGGGCCCGTGCTGCGGCTATCATAACTAGTAAAATAAATAAAAGGAAGACAACAATTTCAAGAATATTTTTTCTGCGAAATAGAATCAGAGGTGCGAGTAAATGGGGAGCGATAAGAAGACGACGGAGGAGAAGAGGAAGCATAAGAGAAATTCGCCTTCTTCTCCACGAGGTTTTTTCCTTTCTTGTGTCTTCCAAAATCTGCAAAGAGATAATTTTTGAATATATATGGGCTTATACGTCTTTGTGTCTGCTTAAACAGATGAAGTGAAAAGCAAACGCCAGAATATCAAAGGGGATGAAGAGCGAAGGAAAGAAAAGGACAAATCCAAGAAGGAGAAGCACAAATCCCATAAATCCAAATGTCATTCTAGTGAAGGTACTTGCACAATTTTTGTTTTTGTTTTAAATTTTGTATATGAGTTCTGTTCAGTATTAAGCTGAGAATTTACTGATTTTATTATGAAAATTTAGGGATTTTGTTCTTTACTTGGGCCTCAGAAGGGTTCGTTTAGTTCCGTAAAACGTTTGCGATTTAGAATTTGATGTTGTTGCTGTTAGGGTTTGCTGCACTGATTAGTATAATGAGTTTGAAAAGGGAAAGCAAGTATTATGCCGCTCAGCAATCCTTTTGCTTTGTTTTCCAATTCAATTGATAGTTATGTGTAGGTTATGTGATCTGCCATTTATTAAGCAACTAAACTATAAATTAGGGCTGCACACAAACACATATAAAAAAGAAAAAGAAGAAAAATGATGGGTACGTATGTGCAAATAGTTAGAACACCATTTGCCTTTGGAAATGATGGGTGCTTGCTAGTGGCTAAGCCTTCTTCTTTGAAATGGAGTTCTTTGTTCAGATCTTCCATTTACAATGGTGTTATTTACTGAACTCCAAGATCTTAGAGTGTAATCCATGTACAGATGTGAGTCAAAGCTAGGATATCTTATTCTAATAACTGAAAAGGTCTTCGATTGCTGTGCACATTTTGTTCAAATAGAATTAGGGTTCCCTTGGGTTCTTTCAACTCTTTATATAGTGATGGAGTAACTAATAGTCTTAGAGATAGAGTTGTGACTTGTCAGTGATGATCTGTTAGATTTGGCAATCTTTTACAATGAAAACAAAGGATCAAAGACTGGATCGCTGGTTCTACTTCATGTTACTAACCTTTGTTCTTGATATTATTAGGTTTCACTCCATTATTTTGTGTGACTCATGGTGACATCTTGTTGGTAGCTTTATAGATTTATACCACTATTGTTTTTTTTTTTTGATGAACTGGGAATTTATTCATTAGAAATTACTCACTACTACAGTTTTGATCCTGTGGATCATTACATATACCACTATAGTTATTTTGTATGATTATTATAGCAAGTGGTCGTTTCTGATATTTTAAATATTGTATGTTTATACATAGGGAGATGTGTGCACTTAAATTAAATGGTTCCCCTGTATGTTACTGGTTTGGTGCTAGAAGTTATGTTAGACACGCTGACTCACTGATATTGCTTCAGAGAAGAAGTCAGGGGAAAAGCACAAAACCAAGAGCCACAAACATAAGGATAAATCGGTGAGTGCTTCTTGTTTAATACCTACATTTCTTTTGCTTCAAAATAACATTCTCAAGCTTATCATTTTACTCTGTATCATATCTCGTGGAAGGAAAATTGTTATCTGCTCGCGTAGTTATTATCCTTCGCACTAATTTGTTGCTGTATGTAGGTAGCATTGGTTTAAGTTGGTGTTGAATCTGTTGAATATAATAGGTTGCTCGTCTTTTTCTGTTTTGGCTGGAACTGATAGTTAGATATAGCTTTCTTGTGGTATGACCTTTCAGCTATCTATGTTAATTCTTGTAGAGAGTCTTCATTACATATGTGGCTGGCTGATGCTTAGAAATAAGTCTGTAAACTTGGAAAAATACTGGAGTTCCATTTTCTTCAGTTGTGATATCTGAAATCTTGGTTGGACTATTGCTGTCTTGATTGCTGATATAAAATATTTGTGAAATAAACCAAGGTATTCATATATGGAGGAATCATTCTTTTGAAGAGAACCTGTCAGATTCAAAAAGGGCAATAATTTCTGTGTGGTGAATTGTTAATGGCGTCCACACTATCAGAGCTCTTTAATACTTGAAAAATTGTTAGACTGTAGCAGTAGCAGTAACTGTTTTCGCCTCTGTTCTTTCTCATGACTTCCTTTATGAAAATAGCTCTTTAATACTTGAAAAATTGTTAGACTGTAGCAGTAGCAGTAACTGTTTTCGCCTCTGTTCTTTCTCATGACTTCCTTTATGAAAATAAGTAGGACATCCATTTTGACTCAGGCTTTATTCCTCCATCTTTGATTTTTAATTATTTTGCTTTACCTTCTTTCTCAGAAAAACAAGTTTGAAGAGTTATCAAAAGATGATTATTTCTCTAAGAACAATGAATTTGCTTCTTGGCTGAAAGATAAGAAGAATTTGTTCTTCTCAGATCTTTCGTCTGAGACTGCACGCAATTTATTCTCTGACTTTGTCATACAATGGAACAAGGGAAAGCTTGACAGCCAATACTATGAGGGAATTGCAACCGGGCCTCGGTCATCCCACGCTTGGAATATCAAAAAGTAATAGAATTCCATGTTTCTTCTCTTTAAGGAGCAGTTGTATTGTCTTTTTCCCAGTTGTCCGATGGTTATGTCTTAGGCTTCTGTATTTTTGTGTTTTCTTTTTTCAGCAGAACATGCTTAAGCCTTATGAAGATACTTTCTTGGATGCCTGGTAAAATCACCCTATCTGTTATTTATCAAGGCCTTCGGGTGCTGAGACGGACAGTACTTATGATTCACGTAAACTCAATAGTTTTTATTCATACTTTCGATATGTATTAAAAACTTTATTAAATACCTATAAATATTAAACTATAAATTCAATTATTATCGTATATTAACTTGAGGTTACTGCATGAACTCTTAAATTTTAAATTTTAAATACGCATCTGTTTGAGTGCCTATTTGGCAACCCAAAACACTATACAATGATATATTCAAAAAAATGTTCTGGCTTGGAGAAGGTACTTTGATCCAGCCTCCAGTGTGACCACTGACCAGATAGCGGATAATATATATATATATATATATATATATATTATGTGGCTCAATTTTTAATTGGGATTTTAGTGAAAGATCAGACAAAGATACCCAACTGGGCACACTTTAAACAGTACTCTCGCTGTTTTGATTTTTCATGTTTTCTTTCACTAATAATTCTCCACATTTTGGTGGAAAAATAGAAATGAAGCTAAAGCAATAAACGGCATATAAACGAGCTAAAATACCAAACTAATAAACCATGCAAGCCAAAATAAACAACCAGCAAACAATTTTCTCCAAATACAACCATAATGAAGAATCATTGGCCTTAGCTAGAAACCAAAAACCAAGATAAACAAAGCTCAAAATACACAACATGGTAATTTCAACTTACAAATATAGCTAGGCCCGATTAATTGAATGACCAACACTTAATTTCAAGTTACTATGGAAATGGAAGAGTTAAATTTTAATTAGTGCTTTAGCAATGGGGAGGATTAGGGAGTTTGCATTTCTGAGGGAGTTGCATTGCAAGTGTTGGATCAACTCCTAAAGAAGGCAACCAGTGAGAATTCATATAAGAGCAAAGGCATCCCCAGTCTGCATGTGCCAGCGCGCTGCAGCACTTGGCTGTGGGCGCCGACGGGTTCGGGGGTGTTACTGATGGTTTACATGACATTAAACCTTCTCCTGATATGTTACATATTCCCTGTGCTCTCGACACTTCTATGCTAAAACTGCTCAACAAAATGGCAACCAAAGCCAATGCCACAGGTTTTTTGGCCAAGTAATGCTCCATGTCCATATTTCTCTTTCTTTCTTTCTTTCTGTGAGTGTATGTAGAGAAACAACATGACATAAAGGATTTATATAGTAACAATGTGTGTATGACTGGGTATGGGTTTATGGGCAGGGGCAGGGGCGGATCCAGCATGCCCGTATCGTGTTCTTGTGAACCATAATTTTTTACACGAATATAAATTTGTATAAAAATTTACTAAAATTATAATAAATAATATTTATGACCGTATAATTTTAAAATAGACTGGGTTCAATGCTAAAGATATAAAAGTTAAATTCTACTGAATTCAGTCTCTGGTCATATAGAGTAGCTACTGGGAATCCGTGAAAGTTCATTGGATTTACTTTCTGGCAAAACTCTAGTGTCACGGACTCTGGTTTTTATGTGTAGTCAAGTGGCGATTCTCATTATATATATCAGTGCATTGACCATTTGATCCTTGTATATTGATCTTCACTGTTCACTCGTTTTCAAGTAGTGTCTTTGTCAAGTTTAACTTATTCGTCTCATATTTCCAGCCTATTTATTTTCAAGAATCACACAGCCTTCTTCTAATTCATTTCTGTTTTTTCCCCTTATTATTAAGTACCCCATCGGTTTCAATTTATATGAACATTTTGGTTATGAACATTCATTTTAACTCATCTTTGAAGTTAAATTAGATTAGTTCAACTTGATATTTTAAAATCAAAATATAAATATTTAAAACTATACAAAAATACTATAAGTTGTAATTTTTCTCATGTCAATATCTATACTTGTATACTATATTAAAAGTGGGAAGCCTTTAAGGCTAAAGTTAAATTACAAAAATACCCATAAAATGGACTTTTTTACTCATTTTAAGTATTAATTAATAATAATATTCAAATGAAAAGAATAAAACTAATTTGAAGTACTGTTCTAACTTAGAATAGTTGTGTCCTTTCAATTGTATAACTAACCTATAGAATAGTTGTGTTCTTCCAATTGTATAACTAACCTTTCCATTCAATAATAGTCTTTAACCATATGTAACCTTTAGAGTTAATGCTCCAATAGAATATCATCGACAAACAGAGAAATCAAATAAATGTTCTTTTTGCCAACTTCTCATAGAAATGATTATTCTGGTATAGATTTAACTAATTCATCCCCTGGCCATGATAATTCAAGTCTTTGCCTTTTTACAAGAGGGGTTGCTCAGATGGTAAGCAACCTCCACTTCCAACCAAGAGGTTGTGAGTTCGAGTCACCCCAAGAGCAAGGTGGGGAGTTCTTGGAGGGAAGGATGCCGAAGGTTTATTGGAAATAGCCTCTCTACCTCATGGTATGGGTAAGGTCTGCGTACACACTACCCTCTCCAGACTCCACTAGTGGATTATACTGGGGTGTTGTTGTTATTGCCTTTTGGCGATATTTTCTTCTACTATATATTCTCAATCTGGTCTAACTTATGATGCTAAAGTCTTTGCCTTTTGGCGGTATTATCTCTATCTTTATGGACTTGCTTTTCTCAAATCTCATTAAAATTACTTGTGAGTATCATTTAAATGTTTATCCGAAGATTCTATCATTTTTATATGTTTCATGATTCTTTGTAAGTTTTACTAAGTTTATTTTATTTTAATACTTAGTCTTCCATGTGATGCGACTCCCTGAATGATATATAATCAAAAATAATATCTTTATTAATAACATAGTCTTCCTTAGAAAAAATTAACATTTGAAATACCTAATTAGTAATTTTATAAAAAATTATTATATTAATCAAAAAAATACATTAGTTACATGATTAATGCTAAAGAGACCATTTGTTTTAACATATTTCTATTATAACGTCATGAACATATACATTTTTCGCGTGTATAAGAAGGCCCATGTATTAAAAATTTAAGACATAATTGTTTTGCACGGGTATCAAAAATAAAAGAAAATAATTGAAGATATATATAAATGTGTGACTCTTTGTCTGAAATCTTCATTTATATTTAAGAATATATCGAACTCAATAGTTGAAATGAATCAACTCATGACCAAAATGTAGCCCAATAGAAGAT